CGCCCCCTCCCCAACAGCTGCATCATTGCAATTTGCAACATCAGGATGTAGTTGAGTTTGACACAATGCAAACTCCTTTAAACCCCAGCCCCCCAAAAAACCTCTCGCATTTGTACAGTGTGATGCCATTAAGACGCACAAAGTAACAATTTTCAGCATGTGTACATGGTAATGGCATCACTGTACAAATGTTTAAGTGTTTACTGCCGGTGAGCTGGGGGCCTGTGGTCATGGTCAGCATGGTGCAGAAGGCTGCAATTTGTCCCCTGTTCAGTGGAAGCTGTTCCTTAAGGGGAAAATTGAGTCATCAACACCATATTCAGGATAAAGAATCAGACTTCCAGAGACAGCTCTTTGTATTTGCATTGTCCCTTTTTCCCCCAGCTCTAATCTAGTTCAAGTAACATGCTTGCATCAGAAGAGACTTCCTCACAGCCAGCTATTTGGCTCTTTAAAATCCCCATTCAGCTCCCCCAGCAGCTGCTCCCATGCAACAAGACATCCTCTTCAACTCTGAATGGTTTATTCCACAACTATTATTTTTTAAAGACATACTGAAGAGTTCACACACATCTGGAATTACCACAGGAAGCAGCCACCCCAGCATCATCTTTTCCAGAGGCCGCTTTGGGGGCCCCAGAGGCTGTGGGTGCCATGGCAACAGCACCAGACTCAGTGGGGGCAGCATCAGCAGCTCCCATCGGGTACCCCCTCTGGTAGTGTCTCATGGAGCAGTAACATCCCAGGATCCCCAGGAAGATAAAGGAGCAACTCATCACCACGATGGTCAGAGTAGTGACAGAGAAAGGGAGATGCAGCCCTGTGGGAAGAGAAAGCAGAGAAATGCTCAGGAGCGAAAGCTCAAGGCAACTGGGCTGGACAGACCTTTCTCCAAATCATTTCAGACATGAGTTTGGCCTCAGCCATTTCGGATGGTAGGCTTGTTTCTGCCAGGCACTGCCTCTAAATGAGGCCAAGTTGTGGGGGTGGGAAGGGTAGGAGAGACCCAAGACTCCCACTGTCCTAGTTTCCTTCACTTTAGTGGTGCACAGAGATACTTGCAAAAGATTTGGCTTCAAGCCACCAAGTTCCGATCTCCCTCTTATTCCCCATTTCCCCCCCCCCCCCCACCCCTAGACTAAAAGTCACTGTGACCCTATTAAACAAATCAATTCTGTGAATTGGGTCAGTAACTAAACAGGCTGATCAGATTGCCGACAGCAAGACAGATCTGGGAGCCATTTGGTCACTGGATCACCCCTAGGAATTCCTCAGTTCAAGCCCATGACTGGAAAGCTCTCACAAACCAGAGGTCTCTTTGGCTTCCTCTCTCACAATAGGGTTCACTGGCTGCCGTGGAGAAAATAAGATTGGGTTGGTGGCATCTGGTGTGCTGGGGATAGTGGAAGCCAATGTCAGCGTCTCCGGTATGGCCGAGGTGGACTCTGTTGATGCCATCTTCATAGAGCTGGAACTGAATGTAACAGGGGAGCTGGATACAGTAGAAGCCAGCTGGAAGGGACCAAGCTGGATGTCTGCTTCATCAAGGAGTCCTGCAGAAGGAAGGTCAGTCAGCTACATCATATGGAGCAACATATGGAGGTGGAGGCTCCATGTATAAGAAGCAAGAATATCTGTCACTCCAGTAAGTGTGATGGATAGCAGCAGGTGAGCTCAGCTCTGTAGGGGCTAGTTACAGAGGAGGTGTTTTGTCATAGCAGAAAAGGGGAAGGAATTCCCTTCCTTCACAGTCCATCAACAGAGGATGGGCTGCTCACGTGAAGGATGTAGAACCCCAGGGACAGTCGCCCTCACCTCACCAACAATTAGCACAATTTGTATGTGCTCTTCCAAATGTATATGGCGGTAAGGGCAAGATTTACCTTCCCTCTTGTGAAGTGCATGCCGGTGTCTTCTCCTGCTCCCACAACCAACAGGAGAAGCACAGCAGGAGCAGTCACCCCCTTCCTGGGAGTGCCAGGCTGCAGCAGCGCGGTCATAAGAGCAGGCCTTATTTTGTGCATTGGCAGGGCTGGGAGCCACTGCTTTTAGGTGGCAGAAAAGGTAGATCTGAAAGTACACAAGATGTCAAAACAGGACGTGGCTCTGTATGAGAACAAGCTGAGGTCCAGGATGGAGACAACATAGCACAATACCCTCCCACTAGGGAAGTGGCTCAGCAGACCAAGGGTCACTCTAAGTGAGGCCAAGAGAAGAGAAAGTTCCTACAACTACTCCACCATCCAAAACCCACCCTCTGGCCATCCCTCCTAGCCATCTAGGTCTCCAAAAGAGACTGCAGGAGAGCTCGTCTCATCTCCTCACAGAAGCCAGTGAAAGTACCTCAGGCTGGCTTGAAGATGGCAGCAATCTTCTGCTACTGCCACCCAACCTTGCAGGGGAAAGTCTGTGACTTCCTGTCCACCACCCCTTTCCAAACACACTTCCTCCCAGTAGACACCTGGTTGTTGGGAGCACCAGTGAAGAGGAAGGGGTCCAGCTGGAAGCGGAGGAAGTTGTCTCTTTGTGGAGCAAGGAAGCGGGAGCGGCTGTGCTCTGCATCCACAAAGCACCTGAAGAGAGGATAAGGCACAGGGAAAGGATAAGATCACTGGCTACCCAGACCAGGATCCAAGAAACAGCTTAAGTCTGCTGCGATGTGCACATGCCCCAGGTCTGCCATGTCACGAGTCATGTCATAATTGAAGCAACAGGCAGGGAGTTTCATGGCCTCCTCTAAAAGCCTGGAGATGTGTAGTTCAGAAGCAGTCCATACCATTCCTACAAAAAGCCAACCAGCTTGCCCACCCCTTGCCTTTAAAGCCCCATGACCCAGCTGTCACTCAACTCTAATAAGTACCCAGAACCCAAGCACCAGCTTATACTACTTCACACACCATCACAGACATCTGCTCACTACTCCGAGACTCACCCATAGTTTGTGATAATCTTGTATTTCATGGAGGACTCCACACTTGGCTGGGCCACACACTCATCCACATAGATTTTCAGAGGTACATGGCAGTCTGTTTTTACTGATGCCTGGATGTTTATTAAGTCACCGAAGTGGTAAGAGGGGTCAGACAGGGGGGATGACCAGGTACCTGCAAGAAACAAGAGAACACACTCACCCAGATCTCTCTGTTCCCACCCCAGAACAAAATGTTGGCTACAGCATGAAGTTTGGGTTGATGGGCACTGGCAGAGCTGTGGGAGAATATAGGACTGAGACACAGGCCAAAACTCAGAAAGCTCCCAACTCCCATCCCTTTACCTACACTGTAGATGGAGGCCTGAGTGAAGCCTGACTAGGGGGCTTTATATTTAGTCAGAGACTAGCTAGGATGTGGAGGAGACCAATCCCCCAAAAGGCTTCTGTAGCCTGCTGAAATCAAGTGAACACTCACTGTCGTAGATGTCCAAGGCAAAATCCAAGCGCTGCCTGTGAATTACGGTAGAGCTAAAGGGGACCCAAGTAGGCTGGAGTCCTAAGGTGGAAACATTCCCTGTCCTGGAATGAAGCAGAGTCTCAAATCACTTCTCCATACCTGGTGAGACAAGATCTGAATGCCATATTCTGTAGCGCTCCTGTACAACAAGGCTAGGAGCCATTTTGTTCCTCCCTCCCTCTTGTCCTGCTCCCCTAATTACGTGTTTTAGTGTCAAAATTCCCTCCCCTCTCCAGATTTCCTGAGCTGGGCAGGCTTGGACTAGTAGGCTTTTAGGAGATCTATTGCATCCAGGGCTTGGATCTTTATCCTCTTGCCTCAACATTTATACTGGTGCCAAGCACTACCAAGTTATGTAACTAGCAAGCGTGAAGCTCCCACCAAGCCTCTGGTCAGGTGTAAACTCCTGCAGTTCAGTCAAGTGCATGCCACGAACCTGCCCACATCTGCAGAGGCTGAACCATGCTCCATTTGGAGCAGACTTTTCAGAGTGAAAGCAGGGATGCAGGAACACTAACCCACTGCAAAACTCAGGGGGGCCCTGCAATGGCTAGGTCACGCCAGGTAAAAGGATGAAAGCTCAGGAAAGGTGGGGGGCAACAACTTGTTTTTGAAAGAAGCTGGGACAAATCTCAGCCTCCAGCTTCAGCAAGTAAGCACCTAGACCTAGCACTCACCTGGGGTAGAGGCAGTCTATGGGGAGGGAGAAGGGACTGGCTCGGATCACACCCCCTACAGCAGAAGGTCTGTAGTAGAGGATGTTTCTGTAGCGGATGCTGTCTGGGAGGAGCTATGCAAAGCAAACAAAGCCCAGAGTTACCCCCAAGTCTATTTTGCTTCCCCCACATCCACTCAGCAGCAGGGAAATCTGTTCAGCTATATCCCAGAATGGAAGCATTATGCCAAGGCCTGCACTCCATAGGCTCATTCAGCTTGTTAAAGAGTTTGTTTACAAAAAATTCAGCAAGATGGAGAAACCAGTTGAGTCCAACCAACCCATGCAACTGTGTTGAGAGGAGAAAGTAGTTCTCCAGATAGCACTGTAATGCCCATTAAACAAGAGGGACATGGGACAAGAAATGAACCAATATGCCGGACCCCAAAACGCTGACCAGAATGAAAGGAATGGCTGCTCTGCCTTTTTTGCAGTCCTTAGTCTAATGTCCTGACCTCAAACTGACTGGAATGAAAAAGTCTTTCCATCATGGCAGCCATGAACACCATTTCACGGAAGCCCACAAGACAGGACACTGGTCCTCCATTGCCCTGATCCTGCAAAATGTTCTGACCAGACCATGCCAGAAAGTGGGACTCCAATGAGATCCCTACTTCACTGGATTCAGCTACAGCCCGAAAGCCACCTGGCACAGAATATTTGTTCCTGCTCTTGCATCTTTTCTTCCTACACCACCCTCATTTCTCAAACTTCCTTATTTCATTGCTTCTGATTAATCAGAGTCTGGCTTCGACTGCCAGCATTGCCTCTTTCACATCACTCCTGTGATTGTGCCACTGTCAAGGCAGTCAAAAGCAGTGCCCTGAACAGCCAAGATTGGTTAGGGCCCAGTGAAGTCTCAAAGTGGCAGAACAGACCATATGCCAGGTTTGCCTCTAGGTGCCAAAGTCAACAGAGACCCAAACTTCAGTTTGTTTTTCTCCTGTTCTTTTCCTCTTGGAGAAGAGACAAGACCTTATCAGGAAAGCAGAATTTGACAGCAACATATTTAGCCTCTTGTTTAGCTTTCCTTAGTAGATCAAAAAGGATTATTACAACCTAAGAAACTTATGAACAGTAACATGTTGTTTATAAATATTCTCATTAGCTTAAAAAAGGGAGTAAGAGACATTATTAAGCATACATTTTTAAGGGAGACTTTCATTTTAGGTGCTTTTCACCATCTCCTGATGTTTCTGTATAGGACAGAGTTTCCTTGCTCAAAGCCCCAGGTCTTGTTCAAATGTTTTAATGTAGTACTATTTCATAGATTTCATAGACAGGGTTGTGTTGATGTCTGAGTCAAAAGTGTCACTTATTCTCATTGACATGACCACTAATTGGAATGTTCTGGTCAGAGTAAGGATTTGGCCAGTTGATGACCATTAACATTAGATAAAAAGATAAGCATACAGCCGTCTAGCAAGGTTCTGCCTCCTATTTGATGTGACTTTAAATAGGATATTATTGTATTAAGGACTATAGACACCCTAAAACATGCAGGTGAGACTTTTTAAGGAGACCTACCCTTTATATCAGCCAAATGGGGTACAAGTCATTGTAAAGCCAAATTAACAAAACTTGGCAGTTCCATCCCCCCCAAGATGCTCCAGCTAGTGAAGGGAGTAACCAACTCCAGTAAGAGGAAACTGCCATCAGCCCTACAGGGCTAATTATGGGACTCAAACCCAAGACTTTTATTACTAGGAGTCCAAGCTTCTACTGGCCACCTATGAGCTAGAGGAACCCGTCTTCTAGCTGTAGCCAAGTCAAACTTTTAGGGACAAGTAACTAAAGTAGTTATGCAATCCCTGGATAGTGGGCTACAATGACACCTCACACGTTAATATTAATATAGACCCATAATAGCTACTTCCATGGCAAGTGGGATGTACCATTCGATGAATGGGTGATTCGCTTCCCAAGGAAAGACCATAAATCAGAGCAATGAGCCCTGGACTCTTCTCACTCCTCTAACCCTTTGCCCTTATTCAAAGTATCTTCCTCTCCAAGACTAGCCCATCTATTCTACACAGGAAATGCAGAAGTTACCCAAGTGATTTCACAAGTTGAGGTTCACAGAGCTCCTTGCTGCAGCACTTGACACTGTCAACATTACCTACCCACAGGACCAAGCCCTCCACGTGCCCTGCAGTGCACTAGAAAGACTGCACCATTGCCCTGATCTTGGCTGTGGGCAGAAAATGAAATGCTCCGTTTGTCCAGTGAGCCTAGGAAATTGGTGCACTTGCTCCTAGATGACTCTTTGTCAGCCTACATTAGAAAGGGCATTATCTGTATTCAGGGGGGATCCCAAACAGTCAAGTAGGCAAAATCTGATGGGAACCAAGCATTCCTGTGCACTCAGAGGAGGAGACATTGCTAAGGCAATTCACTCAGGAGCCCCACATTGAACCGGTAGAACAAGAGGTTGACCCCCACCAGCACTGCTGGTCTACATCTCACCTCCATGGTGGCACCGCAGGCAGACAAAGGGTAATTCAGCTGGAATCTATCTGGCTGAACAGCAATCACAGCACAGCTGGCCCCCAGGGTCAGTTCATTTGCAGCAACATGCACACCATTCCCAAAGAGGTCTACAAGCACTGTGATCAGGATCCGGAAGTTGCCACATGCCACAGAGACTGCAGAGAGGGCACATGGGACTCAGTGGAGACTTACCACTATATTGCTGTAGGGATGCCACTCCAAGTGAAGCAGCCCCAAAGAATCACCCCAGAAATGACCCTAAGTCCAGGGAACATGGGAGCAGGTGCTGATGGCTCCTGCAACATCTATACTGATGTCCAGGAAGCAAATGCTACAAATAAGACCGATAGCAATCTACGTATCGGGCACTTGGATTCACACTACTTCGACTAGGGGCACACTGGGTCCCTTTGCTCCATAATAAGCCTTCCTCCTATGTCCACAAGGACTGGTCACGTAAGTGATCTTTTGCTGGGAAAATTTGATATGACACCTCCCACCAGTGTCCAACCATCAGACTTTGCATAACAGAGTTCTCTTCCTCCACCATGGGTATTACTGACAGAGTGCAAGAAGTCTTGCTTGGTACCAACAGAAGAAGGTAGGGCTGAGAGGGCGAGTCGTTTGGCATGTGGTCAGTGAACTGGCACTTGTTAGCTACTAGTTCATCTCTCCCACCTCAAAACAGACCCAAGCATCATGAAAGCAAGACCGCCTTTGCAGACCCCACCTGCCACGCTATACCTCTGCAACTAGTTGAGCACAATAACCATGTTGGGTCTGCAAAGTCTTTTGCCCCATCTCTATTTTTGCATTTTAGGGGGGTCCAAACATCAAAATATTTTTCAAGTGTCTCAGTTTCAAAACAGGTTCTGGAGAAAGTAAGTAAGTAAAAAGCAACCAGGTTTGAAACTAAATCTTGTATTAGAATGTTTCTTTAAACCAAAGTCCCAAGGCTGCCTTTCAAGACATCAGTGCAATACAAAAAAAGACAATAAGCTTGAAAATAGAGGCTTATTTTCTTCCCTTCTTTTTCAATCAGTTAAAGTGCTGAGGTTTTGTTTGCTGAACACTAAATATTTGCTTTGGACCAGAAGGTAAGAATTTGAAGACTGAACCTGAACCATCCAGCTCTCTTTCCTGTTCCAAGAGAGATTCCATCTGCCCAAACTAAGACTTCTCAAACAGACCAACATCTCCTACATGCCAGCTGTCACATTACGCACTCTTGACAGAAAAAACTGAAGCATTAAATCAATATAATGTTTTAATGCAAATTCAGAGTAAGTCTGGAATACTTGACAGCTGCTTGGTATCATCTATTGCTAATATAGAACTATGGCACCTATATGGCAGCTTTCGACACTGCACCAAGTTCCAAGGAACAGCCAAGAAGATTAACCCTCAAAGACACATACACGAGGCAACTTTCAGCTGTATATCTCAGAGATAGGACAGAACTAGGAATCCGGAAAAAAAGAACCATTGAGTCTTTGGATGTCTGAGCTTTGGGGCATCCAGGCTGAGGCACCCAGAGACTGACAGGCAACTCAACTGCAATGATTTCAGTACCTGCCACAAGTAGTCAACAGGGCAGATTCAGGATTTACTGAAGTGGCGTGGGGCACAGCTCCCAATCAGATGGTGAAGGAATTGGAGCGAGGAGCAGCTAGAGCCCCTGGGTCAGCAATGGACACCAGGGAGCTGCACAGGGGGATTACTCACTCCCCACTAACACCACTGCTGTCACCGGGGGTGGTCAAAGCCAGCAATTGCCCCACTCCAGCCAGGGCTGTGGGGAGCTACAGCTTGGGGTACCAGGCTTGGCAAGAGACAACAGCAGCATGCAGGTTCCTCCTTCTAGCACCTGCTTTTAGCCAATAAGGCTGACCTGCTTCCCCTTCCCACTATACCCTGCCCCCACAATAGGTATCCCCCCCACTGGCTGGCAGCAGGGACAGGAAAGGGGAACCTGTGTACTGCTGCCACTGTAACCCACCAAGGCTGGCACCCTGCATGGGCTCAGCCCAATGTTAGAGCAAGGAAGAAGCAGCTCTGGGGCTCCTCCTGCACTTGGGTCAGCTAAAAACAGCAGTAGCTGCAAGGAAGGGTAGGGGTGCATCTACATCACTGCAGCACCTTGGATCCGTCACCAAGTCGCTAGGAAGAGAGAGCTAAACAAAGCCAGATATTTCATATCAACCCCATTAGGTAAAAGCATCTTTCACAGGTTATCTAGGTTAGCAGGTAGGAGTGCTCATGGGATAACTCCCTAGACCTACTCCAGGTGAAGCCAGCACAGATGAAAAAAGCTCTATCAGTCTCATCACCTCTCTCTAGGCCCAGGAAAATGGGAACAGCTACAGAAAGCTTATGGCTGCCACAGTGCTGCCTAAGCTTTCATATTTGCAGGATACAGATGTATTAACCCAGGACAACTCTCACTCAGACTGCCTACAAGGAAGTCAAGTGGGTGGAGTAAGAAGCCTTTAGCACAGTACAAGCCTCAGAAGGCTAATGTGATGTAGATAGGTGTCTCTTCTCCCTCTAGCAAACAGAATACTCACAACACTTCAATTAAATATTGAATCTGAATGGACTACAGACATGCCACTGAGCTTCCTAGGAAAGGTCCCCTGGTAACAGCTTTTGTAGCCAGTGCCTGGGCAGCAGAACAGCTTTTAAACCACCCCCACCCCACAGTTGGGAGACTGGCATTTCCTAGAAGGGGCTGGAAACATCCACCCCCTAACTCAGCAGATGGGTCTCAGCACAGACATCTAGTGTAGATTCATAGCAGGCTCAACTATGCCAGGACCAGGCACTACCTCCACTCACCCAACAAAAAGCTACAGAACACCAAGCAGCCTCTATCATCCAGAGTACCTTCCTCCCATACAAACAGAGTAAGGAGGCAAAAAGTGAGAAGTGAGTTTTCTCCTGCCCACACCCTTTGCTCCCCAACTTTACCCGGAGTAGCTTGAACACAAGCCACAGTGACTAAGAAAGACAAAACCCAGCTCCCCCAAGGAGCCTCCATTCTACAACCACTGCATAAGAAGCAACCAGCTGACAGCCTGCTAGTCAGTCTACCCTGCTTTTATACCTGGGGCAGTATTCAGGTGACTGCCATTCCTCCAATGAGAGGACAGTCACCCCCAGGCATCACTCAGAGCTGTGTTCCCTTTCTCCTCACCTTTGAGAGGAGCAAGCACTGATCAGGACATGCAAGTGCTGGTGCATCTCAGCTAGCATGTGCTATCACTTGTGGTTGATGGCTCAAATCTCAGGAGTAATACCCCTCCTTGCCCTTCAAGTGCACTTTTACTACAATGCTTTATATATTGGTTAGTGACCTCAGAGGCCTTTTTGAAAAGAGTATGGGGAGGTGGCACAGTTTGCCTTCCCTGCTGTCTTCTTGTCTACATCCTGCAAGCAGTTTGAGACCAAAACCCCTACATACAGACAAAAGCCTAGATAATCTGCTTCTCTTTTGTTCCTCCCAGGCAAAGACAGCAAAGAGATTCAGCCTAAAGCAAAGGACTTTACCATTCCAAAAAGATTCCAGAAAAAATATCATTTCAGGCTGAACCAAAACAAAAATTTTCCAGT